CCCTCTGCCTCCAGGTTCTCCCTCCGTTGGGCGAGTCTCGGGCTAGACGAGTGGTAGCCTCTTCGATCGGGCTTCTCAACTGCCCTGGGCCGGGTTCCACCCAGGCCCCGCCTTTCGAGCCGGATAGCCACGCCCCCGAGAGAGACCACGCCCCCACCTCGCCAGCCTCCCTCTTGCGGTCGAGCCCCGCCCCCTACCGAGCCTCCCCGCTACATTGGCTTAATTTCTCCCTCGACCCCGCCCCTGAGGCCGGCTCCGTGCTGTCATTGGTGGGCTCCGCCTCGGGCACCGCCCCCTGTCCGGCTCCCCGCTCCCATTGTCTCGCCAGATGCCGCCTGGTCCGGCAATCGTGCTCGGCGTTCAGTTTTCTGGGGTCGCGCTCTTTCTCTGGCCCGCGGAGCGGTCCCGCCGCCGAGAACCAAAATCCTGAGTTTGGGCGGCTCTTCTTTCCTCCTCAGGAGCCACTTTGCTGTCCCAGGACGGCTGCAGCTATGTCCGCGCTGCGACCGCTCCTGCTTCTGCTGCTGCCTCTGTGTCCCGGTCCTGGCCCTGGACCCGGGAGTGAGGCAAAGGTCACCCGGAGTTGTGCAGAGACCCGGCAGGTGCTGGGGGCCCGGGGATATAGCTTAAACCTAATCCCTCCCGCTCTGATCTCAGGTGAGGAGAAAGAGGAAGACTAGAGAATTGGGGGTGGGGGGCGGGGGCGGGTCCTCCCCATCTCACAATAACTCTCTTCCCTTTCAGAGTGACCGTTGTAATAATCTTTTCATCCCACAGTAATGTCTCTCCTCCTCCTGTAACTTCCTTACCAGGATCACAATAAGCGTTCTGTGCACAGAAGAGCTCTCTCTTACTCCACCTCCATCCCAGGAATCCCCTCCTTGTAATTAGCACCCCCTTGTATGTTTCTTTCTTCACAGCCTTGTTCTCCTCGCTACTTCTGTGAGCCCCTCCTATGATAGTACTTTCTTGCTCACCAAGTAACCCCACCCCTCCCAACCCCATTTTTCATCCCATGGACACTGTCTTGCAAGTCCCTGGAGGCCTGGGGTGTGGGCTGTTGGGGAGAGTCACCGAGGACACTCTGACCACTAATTTGGCCCTGAGGGTGGCTGTCAAATAGATGATCCCCTGCCTCAAGGGAGTAGACTTGGGATGGCTGAGGAGACAATAAGGAAGGGATAGGGTCAGGGGGGATGAGAAGCAGACAATAGAAGAGAGACCAGACAGGTGGAAGAGACAGGGTACCCCCTAGAGATAGGCAGGCGAGGGAAGGAATTTCTCGAGGTCATGTCCCACTCTTCCTCCACATCTCCTCTGTCCAGGTGAGCACCTCCGGGTCTGTCCCCAGGAGTACACCTGCTGTTCCAGCGAGACAGAGCAGAGACTGATCAGGGAGACTGAGGCCACCTTCCGAGGCCTGGTGGAGGACAGCGGCTCCTTCCTGGTCCACACACTGGCTGCCCGGCACAGAAAATTTGATGGTGAGGCCCCGGGTGTGTGGACCGGCTTCACACCTCTGCGTGCTTATGACCCCTGAGAGCTTCCTGTCCCCACTCGTTGCTCCATCCCCTCCCAGCCCTGGCTTAGCCCTCACCCCCACCCACTGTCTCCGGCCCCTGCCCTTCCTGTCCCAGTCTGCCCGGGTCTCTGGAATTGCTCCGTTTCTGACTCACTTGTCTTTTCTCCCCCCCACCCGCCTGCTCCTGCCTCTGCCTGTTCCCTTTTCTGCCCTCCTCTGGCCTCGCCCCACCTCGCACCGGTTCCCTGCAATCGCCACAGAGTTTTTTCTGGAGATGCTCTCGGTAGCCCAGCACTCCCTGACCCAGCTCTTCTCCCACTCCTACGGCCGTCTGTATGCCCAGCACGCCCTCATGTTCAATGGCCTGTTCTCTCGGCTGCGGGACTTCTATGGGGAGTCTGGTGAGGGGTTGGATGACATCTTGGCGGATTTCTGGGCGCAGCTCCTGGAGAGGGTGTTCCCTCTGCTGCACCCACAGTACAGCTTCCCCCCGGACTACCTGCTCTGCCTCTCGCGCCTCGCCTCGTCTGCCGATGGCTCTCTGCAGCCCTTCGGGGACTCACCCCGCCGCCTCCGCCTGCAGGTGAGGGATCTGAAGCCTGAGCTTCCGCGACTTCTGACTGTGCGCTACGCACCTCCAAGTCAGGGGGCCCCAGTCACCTCTGACCTGGATCCTCCACTGAGCCATCTCTGGCCCGGTGACCCCTCTAGAGCCTCGACCACCTCTGCCTGACTCAGTGCTCTCTGCTCTCTCTTAAGTGGTTGCCTTCCATCCCATTCTGTGCCCTCGTTTCACGCATTCCCTGGCCCCCAGCCACCTTGCTGCCAGCTTCTCCCTATCTCAGCATCACACTTCCTCTACTTCAACTACACAGGAATTCGTGTCCGAGAGGCATTTTCATCCAGAGCATGGCATTTGCCGTCGTAACTCTGTGAGGCAGGCAGTAGTAGTAGTAGAGGAGAAAGCAAAGGCTCCCAGGGAGTAGGGTCTCACACCCGGCCTTCTGACTTCAAGTTCAGTGTCAGTTCTGATGCAGTCTCTCAATCTCCCAGCCCCATTCAACACAATCCTTCCATCTCTTCCCAAGTCCAGTTCCCTTGACTTTTCTGGACTCTAATCCCCGTGGGCCTCTGAAACCTACCTCTCTGTACCACCTGACACTCTGCCACCGCAAGCTAACCCCACAGATCTGATCCCTCCCGCTTGTCCCCTTGGTACAGTCTCTCGGCCCCAGTCCCGATTGACCCATGACAGCCTTGTGGTATTTCTCACTTCTTTGCCTTCCCTCAGATAACTCGGACCCTGGTGGCTGCCCGGGCCTTTGTCCAGGGCCTGGAGACTGGAAGAAATGTGGTCCTCGAAGCGCTCAAGGTCAAAGGGAGCCTGAAAGTGGGCAGGGCCCGGGAGGGAGAGGTGGAAGTGGGAGAGAAGAGTCAGGCACCAGCTGGCAGGAGAGGCCTGGGGCCGGCCTTCCCATGTCTACCTCCAGGCCCTGACGTTCCAGGGAAAATCAGGAAGGAGGCAGCTGGAGCGAAGCCTCCCCTGGGTCATGATCCTTGGTCTCCTACCACCTCTGACCCTCTCCTGTCCTGTGATGACTCATACCCACTACCATTCTCCAGGGGCCTGCTCATCTCCATAGCAGTCTTAGGTTGGGGGACTGACGCCCCCCCCGCGCCGATCCTCCAGGACCTGTCAGTGACTCCCCTTTGTTGCCAAAGGCCATGTTCCTGGTGAGGTCTCTCTCACGGCCCATCCTCTCCTGACCTCCCAGCCTCACCTCCCACCTCCTCACTCCCCAACTATTATGGACTCGCTCTTGTCCTCGACTCTCTCTCCCTAGTTCTAATACTACCACGAAGCAGCATCTGTGACTTGACTCCTAGGAACCTCCGTCCTCAGATCTGTGGCAGTCTTGTGGTCTCACCTACTGCCACATGGGGTCAACCTGAGGCACTCAAATCCACACCCCTCACAGAACCTGGGGAATGTGGGGTGGGATCTCTGACGTCTCTCTTTGCCCAGCACCAAGCTTGGCTGAGAACGGCCATGGTGTTTGTGGAGGACACAGGCCTGCTGTCTGCCCCCAGGTGCCCATGTTTGAAGGCTGCAGCCGGGCTCTGATGCGTCTGATCGGCTGCCCCCTGTGTCGAGGGGTCCCCTCCCTTCTGCCCTGCCGGGGTTTCTGCCTCAACGTGGTCCGTGGCTGTCTCAGCAGCAGGGGACTGGAGCCTGATTGGGGCAGCTATCTGGGTGAGGGGGGTTCAAGAAAGCCTGGGACGGAGGAGGGCCGTGAGTAAGGCTGGGAGCTGTGTCTGAGGGTGGGTGGGGGTGAACTGGGAGGGGCTCCAAAGCCGCACTGAGGGCGGAACGTGAGAGAGGGCTCTCCTCCCGTGCGTTGCCCGAAACGTGTTGCTGCTTTCTAGGGTCCGAGCGGAGAGTTGCCAGAACATCCTCGTTTAGTACCATCCTTCATTCCACCCTTTCTGTCTCTCCACCTGCAAGATGGTCTCCTGCTCCTGGCTGAGAAGCTGCAGGGCCCCTTTTCCTTTGAGCTGGCGGCTGAGTCCATTGGGGTGAAGATCTCAGAGGGCTTGATGTACCTGCAGGAAAACAGTGGGAAGGTGTCCACCCAGGTACAGAGGGGAGGAGGGCGGAGGCGAGGCCTGAGCGATGCGGTGGCGTGCCGGGGCCCAAGCGGGCAGCGCGGGGACGCGGCGTGCGTCTCACGCGGGGTAACTGCGAGGGCCCTGCGCGCCTGCAGGTGTTTCAGGAGTGCGGCCC